GGAAAAAGGAGGAAAAAAAGAGAAGAAAACGGAACAAAAATAGAGATAAAACAGAAAACGCATCCCCTGAATACCCCCCCTCCCCCCAAAAAAAGCCTAAAAGAGCAAAACAAATACCCTCACTCCCCCAACCCACCCAAAATTAAAATAAATAAATCAATAAATAAAGAACCAGGCTTGTTCGCCAAAAGCATGTTATATACAGCAACAGCCCACGGGACACAGCGAAACACATGCGTAGATTCAACAACATGGTTTTTTCAATTTTGTCCAAACGAGACAACAATCCTGCTTCAGGTACTGCACTAGATCTAGGACCAACTTAAAAATATTACACTATAATAATTGTTGCGAAGTCTAAAACTTGCGAGGCTGTCTTCCCCAGTCACAATGACAGACGTCAAATATGGACTGTGGCTACAATGTTTGCGACCAGCAATAATGTAAATCTTCCTCAAGCCAACATGTTCCACCATTGCAGCTACAACTCTCTACGAGTTGTGGCTTTTGCAAGTCAAAACACAGCTGTGTGCCTGGTCGAGTAGCCAGCGTGTTCTTTCATCTTGGTTGGAAAAGTTTCACAAAGAAATGTCTGTTGATACATGAGAAGCAAACACACCTCTAAATACTGGTACTTCTACGACCCGCTCGAATGTCATGACATCAAATACACAGTTCTATATTGGATCTAATGGACGCTGCAAGCCTTGGTGTTTGTTTGACAAAACAACCTCACGCTAAAACAAAACGATTTGAAAGTTTCGCGTTCGTAAAATTGACCCTTCATCCAATGGGACACTGCCAGCACACGTGACAAACAAGAAGGCTTAGTAAATGCCAAGAGAGTAGTAACTTTAATTGTTTATTTGTTTGTTGAAGGAAAAACCTTTTAAAGGATTACGAAAGTATGAGTTTAAAGATCAGACTATCTTCCCTGGGCACATCAAAGCCAAATAATACTTAATACATGTAGGCCTACTTAAATTGTGACCTTTGTTTTTTTAGTACAGTACAGAGGATCTGCCTGAGGTAGTAATATCATTTACACTTCCTGTCTGAGTCGGAACCCGAATGACGACAAAAATGGGCTCATAGGTTTGGAACTTTCATCCACCTACATATATGGTTTCGCTCTTTGGCTACATCATAAGAACACTATCCCAACACCTAGACAAAAGAGCATGCAACAAAGAAACAATTATCAAGCAAAGGCAGTCCCAACCTAGCGGCATTGTACAACTACATGGCACAGGCGGAGGCTCTTATACAGGCAGCAAACATCATCAGAGATGTAGTAGACCCCCAAAGCTAACAGTATTCCTGACAGGGGCCATGTGAGTACAGCACGCAATCAATGCCGACAAACACCCAAGGCTGAGAGAAGTGATGGCGGGCACCCCATGCCGTGACATCATGCTGCAGTGGATCCCATCGCACCGTGGTGTTTCAGGAAACGAACAGGCGGGCAGAGTGGCAAAAAATAGGTGCCCAAAAAAGAAAAACAAGACAACAATATCAACTTCACAGAAATGAAAACTCCTATAAATACACCATTTAAAACACCACATACACCAGATAACTGCCATGAGCTGTTCCACCAAGAGCAAGTGATTATCTTCAGACTACGAAAACAAAACAAAAGACACAGACAACACATGTACAGATGTAGTGCAATCACCAAAATGCCAGTGTGGAGAAGCAGACTAAACCGTAGAACACATCCTTTAGCAGTGCAAGAAACATAGGGCTCTGAGATAGGAAACGTGGCCAAACCAATAGACACTACAAGAGAAGCTGTGCGGGCCGACAGAAGAACTGAGCAGGATGGCCCAGTACATATATGGTAGAAGCCGGATTTCAGGCGAGATGCGATCGAGCACAAGAAGAGGGAGGAGAAATAACTACGATTCCATTTGCATACATGCTTTACGACAACAGGCCTCCAGGAATGTCGGAGACTGTAAGCTGTACATCTCATCAACGACCGGGACAAGCAGCAGTAAAAACGTAGCAGAAAGACGCTGCCAACCAAATGTCATGTACATGAAAAAAAAGTGTTCGTGTATCGTGACCATGATATAAACATGAGAAAATGTACAGTGGAGGGCACGTAGCAAGTGGATAAAAACAAAACTAGGAATTTAGTTGGTCGGTAAGACATCCACGTTTTACCCCGAGAATGTATAGGAAATCAGAACTGAAACATTCATTGTGATCTCATGAGTTTCCATACAATGAATCAAACAAGGGACATTAAAATATATTCCCAAAACTAAAAGTGACAAAAAAGAAAGGTGAGGAAAGACAAAACAAGACTGCCGAAAACATGGCTTTGCGCTAATCTGTCCACACCATTTCCAGAAGTCACGTTGGTTTTTAGATTGGTTTTCACAATTCCGTAATGCCACTCAGAGTCCTCTTCCTGGAAATACCATGGATGTTGGACTGGTGGCCGGTTAAGTGAGACGTCACTATAACCCACGGCGATGTCTGCACAGCCGTAAAACTGCTCTTGGTTACCACAGCCGACACACTGAGTCCCGTCTGGTCCGGTGCCCCAGCTGTTACCAGCATTGTACTTCCACTGCAACACGCATGCGCGGCACTTAAGACCTTCCGGTAAACGAAGTTTTAGCTTGATTTTCACATTATAGCCGTCTTCGGGCACTTGGTATCGGACCTTTCCAGTGTCCTCCACAAGTAAAGGATACTTCTTCAAACATTCATGGGTGATTTTTGCGAAAGGGTTGTCAGACGGGCAGACGTGAAACTCGAAGTACCCTTTGTGGTTGGCTGTTAGCTCAACCGTCACATCGATGACCTGACCCGTTCTGTACTTCCGGACGATGATTCCCGTTGCGTACTTGCCGCCTGCCTCGTTATCGAGTGGTCCATTCCAAGGGTCTCCGCAGACGCCGCATTTTCCGCCATTTTGTCCGTATTGGACCTGAGGATATAAAGTAATTATATTTAGTTCAATTAGCATCATTATTAGGCATAGCATGAGCTCAACTCCCTTTTCAACACAACAATTTAATGGTAAAATCCAGTTTAAGATAACAGGGCAACCAAAAAGGCACAAGATCATTCATGTAAGTAAAGCAGGAGTAGTGAGGGTAGCACTGGGTGGATGCCATGGACCCTAACGTCTGGTTCAGACATGTCACTTAAAATTCTAAAAATAACCAAAATGAAGGCAAAGAAAAATAAAATGAATGGATTGTCAAATTTCGGTTCTCTATATTAGAGCGGATTCCATACGCGGTGATATCAGTTTTTCTATAACTAATTAATTAGAGTAGCAGATGCACCAGAAGCATTCCCCTCTCCTCCTTCCACCAACTGAATATACGCGAGTTCTGTGTGACACCCATAGTACTGTAGACATTATGGAAGGGTCATTAAGGTTTGGTACAGTAACACAGCTACCAGCACTGTAAGAATATATCGTTTTCAGAAATTCGTTATCACGAACAAAGTAAAAGTAACAAGACGGAGAGTGTTATTAAGCAGAAGAACAAAAGAAGGATCTTAATCGCGAACTGTATTCATGCTGTTGAAAGGTAAAGAAGACAAGGCGAAATGGGAATCAAATCCAAGGATCTTTTAAGAGTAACTGTCTGATAACGGTCATTTTGTGTTGGAAACAGGCTATAGAGCCAACAAGAAAGTAAAGCGGAAGATTCAAGAAGTAGGACCCCGTGCTCTCCCGACAACTACCCCTCAAACTCATGCGTTCAGACAGCCCTGCCAACAGCGGCGTTCGGTTACCTCAGTTAATAGACACCTGATAATAACGAACGTTACAGGCGAACGAATACAAATCTTTTTATAAATTTCTGTACCTGCATGTAGACTGTTTTGTGTGCTTTTACGGTTACCTGCTCCTGATTTATAAGAGAGACAGGGTTTTCTATTTTTGTAAGAAAGGAACGTCATCTGTGACACAAACAGATCATTTCAAACAGTATCGTATGACATGGCACGGCATGGCATGGCAATGGTGTCCTACGGTGTGCTATGGTGTGCTATGGTGTGCTATGGTAGTATAGGTCTATCCCCACTGTAAACACTGTGTGGGATCATTTAAGAGGTGGGGTCTCCGAATGTAACAACCATCCCCAAAAAGATCAAACTAAGCGGGATGACGGCCTCAAAAACTTCTTGAAAACTATCCGAGTTCAAACAATGTCCCAACGATAATTCGAACCAGGATCGTCTTCATTGCAGTCCAACATGATACCAACCAAACTATTGGCGGGCCCTACTGTTTTTAGAAACATACGTTTGTACCTACAGATGGTGTTGTTCCCTGATTATCTATTGTAGAACCATACTTTAAGGAGAGCAACAATTGAACTTAAAGAGAGAGTGTTGGAAGAAATCCCAAGACCCACGACAATCAAAAGCAATTTTAGAGTATGGACGCCAGATAGTAACCCCCCCCCCCCCCCCCTAAAAAAACAACAACAAAAACCAAAAAAACAAAACAACAAAAAACAAAACAAAACCAAAAACAACTGCTGCACAGTCTTCATCATGAAAGTATATAAAAAAGGGTGCAGCAAGAGGTCTGTGAGGCACACTGAGTTACAAAGATGGTTAGTCAAAAGTTGATTTTCTGCCAGTGTGACCCAATATATATAATAATTGAGAAGATTTCCTCCATTAAAACATCTCTGATGCTGAGAGTTGTTCAACAAAAGTAGAGAGGGGAGGGGTGCAACTGACCCTATGCACATCGACTTTTTATCTAAATATTCGTTGTATGCACACACATGAAGACCCCAGGGGCTAGTCACATGACAAATATTCAGGACAACAGCCTGTTTTGCACGTGTTCAAATGGACTTCTGTCGTCCTTTCCATGTGCGACTGTTTTAAATAATATGTTACTGGTCCGTGAAAATGGCTACCTCTGACAAAACTGGTAATGGTGAGCGAAACAAAACAAGCCAAACAACAGATAAAGGCAAACAAAGGCAAAAACTGAAAATTGTGACTGGAGCATATATGAACCAAATTGACCAAGTAATCTATTTTGGCCGATTGTGCGATTTTGGGTAAGTGTCTTATTCAACCTTTCGACATGTCGGTCACTTATAAGTTCGATGGATTTCAGTCGGCTGTAAGTATACGAGAATCATACAGCAATGTAGAATTTAACAGTAAAAGTAAACCCGAGCCCTCCACTTGAACTTTAATTTGATATACTTCTTACATCCGGAGTCTCACTCTCAGAGGCACCACATTTGAATCGCCAGGACATCAGGCACAAAAGACTCTTTTAGCTCATTTTTTAAAAGGGGTGTAGAAATCTACGTTAGCGTTTTAACTTAGTTTCAGAACTTGTCCTTTGGAGATCGAACACTAGAATGAGTGGAACCATAAGGAGCCTAAGCAACTCTGGTTTTGCTGTTGCCTTAATTGATATGCCGCAAGACTGCAAGGCAAATCACAAGGAAAAATTTGAATACAGTATATTCCGAATATGTACATGTATTTCTTAGTCTGCTATTGGAGATAGATTTTAATTCTAACAACTTGTTCTGAACAAAGTGAAAGGGCGAACATTTTATCTGAAACTCACCCCAACTCCTCCGCAAAACAGCTGGTTGTCGTCATAGTTGTGCGGTGTGTCGTATCCCAGACGCCACATTGACGACCTTGATGGTGGCTCTAACAAACGGCCATGACCTTGACACATCGGACTCAGCAGACTCAGCAGTAGAAACGACACAACTTTCGGGAAAATAGCTGAAGACTGCATCTTTTCATCTGCGTGATAAAAATTCCAAAACCAGCTCACGAATGGAAAGAAGAAAAATACGCATGTAAACTGAATTAAAAGAAATTTTTAGATATGCCTTCAGACAAACAGACAAAGATAGATAGATAGATGGATGGATGGATAGATGGATGGATGGATGGATGGATGGATGGATGGATGGATGGATGGATGGATGGAGTGAGAGGGGGGGAAGAGGAGGGAGGGAGACGGAGAGAGAGAGAGAGAGAGAGAGAGAGAGAGAGAGAGAGAGAGAGAGAGAGAGAGAGAGAGAGAGAGAGAGAGAGAGAGAGACAGAGAGAGACAGAGAGAGAGAGATAGAAACATTTTGAAGGGGTAGCAGCTTTCTGTGATGGTTTTATCTGGGCTTTTACTTTTGTAGCAGATGTTGGTGAAGATGTAGGTATAGAAGGCTTTGATGCAGATGTTGGTAAAAGATAGTAAATACATTGTACGTTGGTCTAGTTAATTTTGTTCAAATTATTTTTGAAAAGATGTAAGTATAGATGGTTTTAGTATTTATCTTGATGAAGATGTAGATTTATACGGTTTTGATGTAGATGTTGGTATTGACTGTTCTGGTACAGATCTAACGGCGTCTGTAGTACCGCGAGTAGACACTTCGCCGTCGCACGCAGAAGGTTCGATTCCTGAGTGAGGGGAATTTTTATCGAGTACATGCATCTCGATCTTCCGGCGCGAAGCCTGCCTCCTAAATGATCTAAACAACTGCACGTACATAAAAAAAAAACTGGGTATAAACGGTTCCCGGATATGTATTGATGTATTTGTAAGTATGGATGTACCAGCAGACTCCCCCAAAAACTTTCCCGACAGCGACACCCATGAAAACGGTTAAAATAGAGTTGAAGGAAGTTAGAGCACATGCTCCACGTGACGCTCTTTTCGGGCGACATATCTCTGAGGCGGTAGACGAAATTGTCTATGACACTCTGCTGCATTGGCACCGCTGAGCCTTTGATGCACTTGGATCTTGTACAGTTTAAACTTCAGATCGTACTTCAACATGCGCCAAACGTATTCTCTGGCAATAGTTAATTTAATACTCCATCACCACTGCCATATCCTCAGGAGTGAGCACTAGCATCGGTCTCCTACTGTGTGTGACCCTAGTTTTAATCTCTTGTTTTTATTTTCAACAGAGCCATGCGACTTGAAGTCAGCCACCCACTTAAGTATTGTTACTTTACTTGGTATTTTCTTGGTCTTTGTTGTTAATTCCAAACCATTTTGCAGAAGAGATTCCCTGTCTGCATAAAAGACTTTGTTTCTATATATTATCTAACCATAAAAATACGTTGTTAGACAGTGTACAGAGTCTTCGGAGTAGCCGTGGCTGCTTCCAAGATACTGTTGTTTTTGTTATGTATTTCTCCTTCCAAATGGTTCAGCTTGCTTCCAGTTATTTTTGAATAGATTGTGCACTTCTGTGCAGAGTTATACTGATATAGGCTTTCCCTGGGGTAACGTTTTTTTTGGGTTTTTTTAATTGGGGGGGGGGGGGGGTCAGTAGGTAACTACCGGGTCTAAAAAAATGGACCCCTTTAAACAGCAACAAATCACATTATCTTGGAACCAGTTTTAATGAAACTTTACAGGAATAAAAATCAACCGTGATGACGCTACATTTGTTAGTGTGAAAAAAAGATCTATCTGTTTGTTAAAATATATATCAAATAAAAAATTTTTCAACCAAAACTGACTAAAACGCAAAACCTTGCAGCTTCTTAAAAACCAACCACTGTTCTATTTCAAATAGTCACTATTTATGCGTTTGGAAAACAAATTAAGACAAAATTGATATTACTAAATAAACTCATGGAAGGTGTTCGCTATCTAAATCTCCAGATGTAGACCATTTCTTTCCATACAAGCTTCAATACACAAACTGGAAAATGTTTTAACACCCCTGTGGTATGTTTCTCTTTCGATTCTTTGGACGTCTTGTTCAACAAGTTTGAACCGTTCGATTATTTGTGGGTTGTTTCCCTAACTCTGGCTATTGAAAATCCACAAAGGATAATTGAAGGGGCTCTAGTAGGAGGAATGTGATAATCATTCATTTGTAAATTTTCGGCTTATAAGAGGTTCCCCAAACTTTTCTTGTAACCTTATCAGGGTCACTCTTGATGTGAGAGTTGTGGCCCCACTTCAGTGGAACCAATTCTGTATAGCATAACGCGTTCTCCCCGAACTTCCACAAAACCTTCTCGGCCTGTTTAGATATCTATCTGAGGTGACTGTGGTAGTTTTACCGTCCTTATCTTAAAACGGTGAAACCAGAATGGGCTGATCGCGCCCTTGTAGCTTAACGCTTATAAAAAGTAACATTTTGCGTTTTATCCAATTTTGGTTGAAATTTAAAAAACATGATATTTCACGAACATGTTGGTGGATTTCACCATATTTACAAACTTGACGTCCTCTTGGTTGAATTATAGCTGTTCGAATTTTTGTTGATATTAATGTAGAGATGACCGACTTGGCACAACAGTTTGGTTGGTATGATTTTATCTTAACTTAATAATATTTTTCCTCAACAACTGAGGCTAGATGAAAAAACTTTTCTTCCTAAATTTTTATTAAATACTTCAAGTCCCCGTTGGGCGAAAAATTGAATTGTTCACAGCACTTCCCACGTCTCACGCATATTTTGCATTTTTGTATGTTCTGCGTGATCACAGCTCTTTAATGACACTTTTTTAGTGGCAAAACTTGTTACAAGAAAAGAATCTTATGTTATAATGGACACATTTTTGGACTAACGGTTTTCAAAACATGCGTTCAATAAGCAAAACGTTGCGATTAGAAATAAAATGATTGACTTGCTTTTCAAAGCGATATTGTCCTCGTTATAAACCTGTTGAAATTTGTAAAAACTGCCCTCTTGGATTTTTTAAATATTTAAGTATTTATTAAAGCATTTTCTAGAATACGCATAACAGGGGTTTACAAACATATTGATCTGTTAAAACAAATTGATACAAGTCATTGTGCAAAAACTGGAGAGTCTTTGTTCGATTGTACAGGAAATACATGCATTTGACAAAGAGTTGCGCCACAAATTTTCGACCGCACTATAATGGACGATTTGGTGAATTTGGTGGGCGGTTTAGGTCACTTGGACAGTGACAGATGCTTTGAAATGCCCCGCTAGGAATAAATTATGAATTACGTTGCTGGGAAATACGAAAAATGTTAGACTATTTCTAAAGAGAGTAAAAGCAGGTGCTGGTTATAAAAAAGTTGACAAGCACTGGTATAGAGATGGTTGTTGTATAGATGCTGATGTTGGTAACGATGCTTCTGTTAAAGATGCTGACATGGATAATTATTATTTATAAAGATGTTTGCATTAAAAAAATCTGGTATACATGTTGGCATGGATGAATTTGTTAGAGTTATTGAAATAGGTCATTCTTTATATAGACATTTATTTAGATAGTTCTGGAATAGATGTAGGGAATGTACAAACGATGGTACATTTTGGTACAGATTAAGATGTTGATATAGATGTTGATATAGATAGTTCTGGTAGATTCATAGATGTTGGTTCTGACAGTTCTGGTATAGACGTCAGTCTAGATAGTTCTGCTACAGATATTGTTACAGTGTCATTGTCGGATTGTGTTGCCCTCTAACTCGAATAATCATAATAACCATAATAATAATAATAATGATAATAATAATAATAATAATAATAATAATAATAATAATAATAATAATAATAATAAGAAGAAGAAGAAGAAGAAGAAGAAGAAGAAGAAGAAGAAGAAAAAGAAGAAGAAGAAGGAGAAGGAGAAGGACGAGGTGAAGGAGGTGGAGGAGGAGGCGGAATGGAGGAAGGAAGGAAGGGAGGAGAAGGTGGAGGAATGGAGGAAAGGAAGGGGAGGAGAAGGAATGGGGAATAGAAGGGAGGAGGAGGACGAGGAGCGATAGGAGGAGGAAGATGAGGAGGAGGAGGGGGAGGTAGACGAGAAAGAGAAGGAAGAGAAAGAAGAAAATTCAAAAAGTCTCAGTACCTCCTTGAGTCGTTGGCTTACCAGCTGTACTCACCAGTCAAGTGTGTGATATCCGCTCAGAGCTGGGACGTTGAAGTGACCCTCAGACTATTCGTTCTCCGTCCTCCTCCTTACCCCGGTGACCGACGGGCAGTTTAACATCAGCAGGACACGTCCACTCTGAGAACGCCGAACCTCTCTCGATGACTCACTGATTTCACAATACCACTACCCTTATGATTGCTGTGATCTCATCTGGGATCTGATACACAGTAGCAATGAGAAAGCTTTCACAGTTAATGCGGGGTCGGTGGGTTTCGTTTTGTTTGTTTGAGTGAATTTCAAAACACAGGAAAACGTATTTTGGTCACGTCAGACAACTATTATGAAATACTTTAAAAAATTATATCGGGTGCTTGTGTCTCCAGGTGACAAACGGTAGGATCATCCGTCTTGAAGATTTTGCACCAGTGTTACAAAATGATTGCTTCGTCTGTCAAAATTTAGGTCGGTGCAAGAGAAGGCCTATGGATCAATACTCACATAGTGTTAACAAGTACCTATTGAATTGACTCAAAAGTCGTCACATTTTTAAAACCGTGAATCACAAGAACAATGTATTTCGGGAAGGCAAACAAACCAAATCCCAAAATATCACTAAAAACACGAACGCGCTATCCCAGTGTCTGATGGAGGGAGAAGCAACCCGCGCACTGACAGAAAACTGAGAACTGAGTCGTCGTGACTGCATTCTTGTTTTAAACATGGCACAGGCTTGGCCCACATCATAGAGTTAGGAAAATATACAGAAGGTGCTACGGGCGTTTAGAGACGGCCTTATCCTTATAAGAAGCTGTCTTTTGAGTAGGCATTCTAGATCTATATAAACTGAAGAAATATACCCAAGAAAAAATGGACCTTGCTTCAGTAGGCCTATGACAAAACGGCACGCATTCTTACTGCGAAAGTCCTAACTTTCATTTGCAAGCAGCGTTATGGTCGGTCTTTGAGGGACCTTTTTGCAGTCTTTGCATTCTCAATACCAACATAATATGTAGCGCAGTTTTCTGCCAATCTGGCAAACACGACAAAGATCTCAGCTTGAATCGGAATAAGGTCTAAACCTTTCTTGTCCTTCCAAGAATATTTTCATCTGAGCCTAGTGCCCTTCTGAAAGTAGGCTACGCATTTTATGTTTGGTAGGGCGGTATAGTAATAAACAATACGCGTCTCCGAGTAGCACAGCTAAATCTGTTGATGGCATGCTGCAGTGGGATTTAAAGGACTCCTGGTTCGAATCTTAAAAAAAATGATTTCTTTAGCTTCGGTTATAACAAGAATTTTATCAAATTTTCATTTTCCTTTGAGAATGATTGTTTCGGAGACGCTTCAGATTTGGAGTCCCAGCCTTAAATATTTTATTTCGAAAACGCGCTAGACGTCTATACTCGCACCACACCAGTACCAAGGCACCTTCCGTCTTTTTTTCGGCTTCTGTGATCTGTCCCAAGCTGTCTGTCCCGATGATCCCTAGGAATAAACCAATGAAGCGAAGTAGCTCTGTGGAGAAATTAAACACTGCAGCTCTCAACTGCCATCGTTAATGTGGGTCAAGGTTCTCTCTTATTCTGACGGGAGTGGAGCTGATACATGTCGTGGTACTGAATGGTATGGTATGGGTTTAACGCTAGACGTACATATAGTAAAGGCCTAACGCCCATTCCAGCGCTGTCAGCTCTCGATTAGGACAAGGGGATGCTGTTATTTGGAAGGGTTTATGATTCAAAGCCCAGCATCCAGTGTTTGATTTTGTTCGCTAGCCTAGGTGCGTGGGACATTCCCAAGTTGTGACTTCACCACCGTGACATAGCATGTCGGCTTTCCTCGCTATTAAACATTTATATCTAAAGTTTTTGACGCTCGCACTTTCAAAGTCGAGTCCCCCTTTTGCTAATTTCTCTACATTTAGCCATATTTGCATTTTCATGAATGAAAATAGTAGAA